ACTGGGATTACAGACGCATGCCACGATGTCCAGCTAATTTTTGTATTTTTAGTAGAGACGGTGTTTCACCACGTTGGCCAGGCTGGTCTTGAACCCCTGACCTCAAGCAATCCACCCGCCTCTGCCTCCCAAAGTGCTGGGATTACAGGCGTGAGCCACCATGCCTCGGACTCTTTTTCTTTCCTGTCTACTCTTTTCTTTCTTTGGCAGCCCCACTATTTCTGCTTTCTCGCCATCCAGTTGGCAAAGATGCAGAGGGAAAATGAGAGTGCCTTGCTCTGCCCCCAGGGAGCTTCCGGCCGAGAAAATAATAGAGATGCCTGAGCAAATGATAACAGGCTGCAGTTTCCTAGAAAAAGGAGGAGGGGCTGGGCTCAGCCTGGGGCAAGGTGTGACTGGGGAGGGGAAGGGACAAAAGAAATGGGGGTGTGAAACACGTTGTCTTTTTACCTTTGAAATCTTCCCCCTTCTTTTTGCCCCTGATCCTTGGGCTCTCCTCCTGTCCCATCAGTGCTCCCTCTGCTCTCTCTAGATGTCCATCCACTTTCGGGAGGACAGCTCCCAGACCCACGTGCTGATGATGAAGGGTGCTCCGGAGAGGATCTTGGAGTTTTGTTCTACCTTTCTTCTGCATGGGCAGGAATATTCGATGGACAATGAACTAAAGGAAGACTTCCAAAATGCCTATTTAGAACTGGGAGGTCTTGGGGAACGTGTGTTAGGTGAGGAGCTGTGGGAGGAGTTTTTTTTGTTTTTTTGTTTTTTTTTGAGACATAGCCTTGCTCTGTTGCCAGGCGCCAGGCTGGAGCGCAGTGGCACAATCTCGGCTCACTGCAACCTCCGCCTCCTGGGTTCAGGCAGTTCTCCTGCCTCAGCCACCTGAGTAGCTGGGACTACAGGCACATGCCACCACACCCAGCTAATTTTTGTATTTTTAGTAGAGACGGGGTTTCACCATGTTGACCAGGATTGTCTCAATCTCTTGACCTGGTGATCCGCCCGCCTCGGCCTCCCAAAGTGCCAGGATTACAGGCTTGAGCCACTGCGCCCGGCCCATGTGGGAGAAGTTTTTTAAAAAATGACATCAAAATGGTTATTATCGGTGAGGTGAAAAATCAAGAATGTAAGCAGATAGGAATGTAGAGTGCTGGATGACTACTGATCCCTCCCCCTGTCTCTCTCTAGGCTTCTGCTTCTTGAATCTGCCTAGCAGCTTCTCCAAGGGATTCCCGTTTAACACAGATGAAATAAATTTTCCCATGGATAACCTTTGTTTCGTGGGCCTCATATCCATGATTGACCCTCCCCGAACTACAGTGCCTGACGCTGTGAACAAGTGTCGTAGTGCAGGAATCAAGGTAAATACTGGCCCAGCCCAGGAGCCCCCGCCACCTGTCATGAGTTGGAGCATGTACTAGAAAGCCTTGCACAGAGTAGATGCTTCATAATCTTAGTTTAGGCTGGGCGCAGTGGCTCACCCCTGTAATCCCAGCACTTTGGGAGGCTGAGGCGGGTGGATCATGAGATCAGTTCAAGACCAGCCTGGCCAATACGGTGAAACCCCATCTCTACTAAAAATACAAAAATTAGCCAGGCGTGGTGACACACGCCTGTAGCCCCAGCTACTCTGGAGGCTGAGGCAGGAGAATCGCTTAAATCCAGGAGGTGGAGGTTGCCATGAGCCAAGATCACACCACTGCACTCCAGCCTGGGCAACAAAGCAAGACTCCATCTCAAATAATAATAATCATCATCTTAGTTTAATTGAGCCTATTTCTGTTTCCTTGGGCCTATGATTTTTACTTAATAGTAAGTCTCCTCTCTAGTTAGAATTCTTCTTGCCTCGAACATTAGAATCACCAGGGAGGCTTTAAATATTGGATGTCTAGGACACACCCCAGACCAATTTAATTAGAAACTCTGAGGATAGAATCCTGGAGCCTATATTTTTAAAAACATTCCTGGAGATTCCGATGAGCAGAGAAGTTTGAGAACCAGTGTCCAGCACAGTGCTTCTCAGACCAACCTGCATGCGTGAGGATCCCTCAGGGAGTATTTTGAAATGCAGATCTGGATTCAGAAGGTCCCAGGAAACCTGAGAGACTGCATTTTTTAAAGAGCTCTCAGGCAATGCTGTCGCTGCTGGTCTGCAGACCACACTAGGAACAGCAAAGTGCTAGATGATGTGGTGTAAATGTGCTGCCAAGGTGGGTGGTAAAAGGGTGAGGCTAGGAGGGCTGGGGCTCTGGACCAGGCAATAGTGAGAATGAGATACAGCTAGTGCTTGACTTATGACCACGATTGGGACCGGCAGACCGGTCATAACACGATTTTGTCGTAAGTTGAGTAGGCTATACGTACAGTTGAAATGGTGCACGCGGAGATGGTAGTGCTGCCGGAAGCTGCTCCGCACTGTCGTATGCCCAGCTGGGCAACGTTTGCGCTGCCAGACGCAGAGCAGTCGTGGCTAGCGATTGTGGTCGTAAAGTCGAATGGTCGTAAGTTGCATAGGTCGTAAGTCGATCAATACCTGTATTGAGAGCTGAGGGATCTTCGATGGGTGTGAGCAGCTGCCCTGAGAGGTACACGTCCAGGTGTAAATCTGGAAACCAAACATCAATCAGACTAAGAGTGAAGTTCAGCATCAGAGCAAATGCAGAGGGAGAAAATCCTCTTTGGTCAGGCTGGACCTTGACCTTCATGGGACGGCAGCAATAGAATTCTTCAGATTCTGAGATGTTGTGTGTCCCATGTTTCCTGGGTCAAATTCTTCATTTGTTTTGTTGTTGTTGTTTTGTTTTGAGACAGTCTCGCTCTTGTTGCCTAGGCTGGAATGCAGTGGTGCGACCTCAGCTCACCTCAACCTCTGCCTCCCAGGTTCAAGCGATTCTCCTGCCTCAGCCTCCTGAGTAGCAGGGACTACAGGCATGCGCCACCACACCCAGCTAATTTTGTATTTTTAGTAGAGACGGGGTTTCACCATGTTGGTCAGGCTGGTCTTTTTTTTTTTTTTT